TCGACCATCAACTCAAGGTGATGTATGTTATCGAGTTCTCGGCACCTGCTGAGAAAAACATCACCTTGAAGGAGGAGGAGAAACGGACCAAATATCGCGATCTCCGGTACGAGCTCCAAGTGCTGTACCCAGGCTACTCGGTCAAAATGGTCGTCCTTATTATCGGTGTACTCGGAGGGATAAAGCCTACGCTGCTCTCGGAACTGAAGATCATACCAGCCTGCCAAAAACCAGCCGAGTGGCTGGCGGGTCAAATGCAGAAGGCGGTCATTCTGGGTTCTCTCCGTCTACTTAGGGCACACGATTCTGGTATCTACAGTCACTAACCCTGCGGGATGCGGGGAGTGGCTGTAGTTGATGCGCCGGCGCGACTCCCGTGAGGCGTCGGAGGCCACGGGAGGACTGACCGGCATCGGGAAACCAAAAAAAAAAAAAAAAAAAAAAAAAAAAAATTAATAAGTAAAAAAGTTTCAATTGTGTTTCTTGATTTTATTTTATATACATTTTTTATTACAAACATGAGCCTGAATGACAATCATCATAAAAACATTTAAAACAAAAATTTTTTTGACATCTAGCACAATTAATGAAAGCGGAATTTTTACAAGAACAATGGTTTTTTAAAAGATGAGTTGGAAAACAAACATCATTTACGTTCACAAAAAATTTCTTCAAACTTTGTGAAGTCCAGAAATAAACTGACACGTTGGCCCAGAGACTGTACTGTAATAACACTGGTAAAAATGGTATACAGTAGTACATTAACCAAAATCTGTTATCCTATTGGTCCCTCATTCTATGCGAGCATTCTTTCTATTCAACAGAAAAACAGATGCTCTCACATGAATACTGTGCATAGTTGGTCAAAACCGGATTGGTAGTATCCAAGATGAAATTTTATGAAATAACCTAAAACTTAATTAGATTTTAATGATAGAAGTAATTATAGTTATTATTTAAAAATATTGTAACTATTAGTTTTATTGGATTTTAAGTAATGGGTGATTGGCTGAAAAATGGCACATAGCATGTCCTAGACTATAACAATGCTATTAATTCAATTAGACAATTAAATATTATTGAGTATGGTGCCTAGCATATATTTCTAATCGTGCCTTAAATAGGTTTATGTCTTTTTGTACACAGAACTTTTTAATTTAGTATTTCATAGCGAAATCATCATTCGCGTGGCCTGTCCCTCAGACCTCGTTTAGATATTATTTTTATAAAATAGAACCTTTAACTACAATGTACTCAGATTTATTACACATATAATAATACAAGACATAGTGATCATTAGTATTCTCCAATTAATTAAAAATATTAATTGAATTTGCTTGTTTTTTTAATGTCGTGAAGTTTGTCCTGGTAAGCAGGCGTCATTCGCGTGCCTTCAACATTATACATCCTAGATGGGCTCTAAATAAATTTCTTCGTTTTTTAGAAAAATGTTAAGACACGACTGGACAAGTTCAGTTGACCCTCATACGTGAAAAGAGCTGGATGCTTTATTTATTGTTTTAAAACCGTTTTGTGTTCTTGTGTAACCTTCTCAGGCGTCATTTTCATGGTAATCATTATTTAAATCAATAAAATAAATTTTTTATTAAATCTTAATTTGACCAATTGTACACAGTAAACAGATTAAATCGACATACAATTTTTTGTAAATTGAACGGTGTTAAATATTTTAATGCAAAAATACGTCTATAATATCATTCTCGTGTCATCATTCTCGTGTTCTTATGGGATCACGAGAATGACACTATTAACACGAGAATGACTGATGATTTATTTTCTTAACTTGATCGACAGTTTCTCATTTCTTTATAGTGTGTATATTTGATATGGCAAATAAAAAAAATGACTCAGAAGAAAAAAAAGGATTAAAAGGGAAAGGGAGCAAGAGCGTAGGAGACAAATAAGAGACGATCCAGTGAGAAGGGAAAGGAAGAAAGAACAAAGCAGGCAAAAGTATTTAAGACAAAAGAGAGAAGGATTGCAGTATAAAAAAAGTATCAGTCAACTGACTCCTAGAGAACAACGCAAGAAGCGAAAGGAATGGAAAAATTAATTCAAAGAATTATAGGAATAGAATTAAGGCAACTTTAATCGAAAGAAGACAGATAGAAGAAGATACACCACCGCCTTCTGATGATGATAATTTTGTACCACAATCAAGACGCAAGTTAGGGATAAGAAAATCTGTAGGAAGTAGGGCATCGGAAAGAATAGACGTCATAGAGTAAAAAAGGGATTAGAAAAGAAGATTGCTGCTTCTCAAATAAGGACAGGAACATACGTTTTGGTAAATATTCCTAAGGAAAAATACAAGAAACTAAACAAAAACCAATATCGATATGCTGCGATCTGTCAAAGCGATTTAGATGACGATGGAGAGGTTAGAGTAATATTTTTAAAAATCTGTGATAATTGTAATAAACAAGACCAACTTTTCCGTCTTGATGACACTGATATTTCAGATATACAATTTGAAAATATTATGGCGGTACTACCTGAACCAACTCTAGTCCTAAAAGGAAACAGAGTTTTTTATAAATTCGATAAAACCATTGATATTTTTGAAAGTGTTTGAACTTTTCCTGCCTATGTTAAACACAAATTTTTTAGTTTATAGTTTTGATTATATTTCATAGTCAGGGAGCTTTCGTTTTTATAATAATTTTAATATGTTGAATGTTAATATATTTTGTAAAATTACTTGTCAGTTACAATTATTGCTTTTATATAAAATATACCTATAAGACTGCAACAATTTTCAAGACTGTTCTATACAGCGTTGTATAATGTACACATATTTTATAATATTTTATTATTATCTAGTTTAGGCATGAATCTTAAAGAAGACTTTTTTTTAAACAAGTTCGTTTTGTATGTTTATTTTATATTTGTAATATTTCTACAAATTTACAATCAATTAATTGATGTGTATAATATTTTGTGTAATTTTTCATCATTCTCGTGAAGTTTTAGTCATTCACGTGCCCAAATAATATCAAAATAGCTCATAAATTAACTGTCACTTATAAATGAGTACGTTTTTTGGCCACAAATAATAGAATATGACTTACTAATGAGTGAAATGGGATAATTTATCTGTTTACCCTTTTTTTTAATTGCCGAAATTTACATTGCGATGTGCCACTTTACAGCCAATCACCCTAATAGGATAATTACTATAATTAAATTATGATTAAAAATTTAAAGTCTTTCGTTAGCAAAATAACATTATTGTTATTTAAATAATAGATAATATTAAATAATAAATTTATTTAATTGTAAAAACAATTAAATAAATAATTTAAAAAAAAAGAAAAAGTAAGTCGTGCACGTGATTCGAACCCCGAGCGCCCAAGCGGTACGCAGACACGTTATCGGCTAGGCTATTTCGCCGCGGGAACTCGACGAACCTCACTAGTATATAAGCTGAGTTTGAATTTTTAAACGTCATTTTCTCCGAATCGATTGAGCGTTGCGCGTTGCCATTCCAAGGGGTGAACACCCTAAAGAAGTACAATTATTACACGAAGTCTCATCCCAAAATAAATTCCCAAGGTCGTGCCCTCCCTTGTGAGTGAAGATGTTTTGGAGAAAAAAATTGCGACTGAAATTTGCGAAAAAAAGTTACAAAAATTGCGAGCCTGCTTTTCCACATTATTTTTTTGACATTCGTCAAATATTTGAAAAACATTTTTTTTCATAACCAGATGGATAAATATATCGAAAATTTTCAAAATTCAAAAAAAAATGTTGCTCTTTTATAGTTACACATTTTGAAATTTGCTTAGAAGTTTGTCGATATACTTTCCACCTTATTCTGAAAAAAAAAATGTTCTGCAAATATTTTACAAATTCTCTAAAAAATAATATTGGGAAGCACAATTTTAGCAACTTTTTTTTCGGAAATTTCAATACCAATTTTTTTCTGCAGAACTTCTCATTTAGTCTTGATAGTTATGCTTTAAAGTCTGCGTGGGTCCTACGCTCCAATACTAAAATGTGACAACCCAAATTTCATCATCCGCCACGATAAGAAAATTTGCTATTAGCTGGAGTTTATTTTGTTTTAATGAAAAAATTAATTGTGTATAAAAAAATTTCTTTTCAGGAAAAATAAGAAAAAAAAACAATGTTTTTTAAATTTATTCCATTTCCAAAACTTTTCGTGTTCTAATCTAACCCGTTTCTAGATCGTCGTGTAGTGAAAGCGAATTATCAGATCACTCTCGGCCCAAGCGGCGATGCTATTAAAATTGTTCAGACCGCCTAAATATCATCAAGTAGCCTGTGAGTATAGTGTCGTCATTTTGATTAGGCAGTAAATAAATACCCGCACAGATAGTTAATATTTACATTGACGGAAAGCTGCCTTGAAGTATGTAAATATACTGCAGTTCAGTTAATCATGGATCTTTCCATACTACTTTTTTCAGCCATTCTTACATTGGCAAACCCTACATGCATAAAGGGACTTACATTATTACGTGGGCTCCAAAGCACAATTTCAGCCATAAAACGCGTAATGTATCCAAAAAAATTAACAGAATAAGCGTTCTTGAATTAAAATTTTTAGGGGGTTTTCTATCCGTCAATGCAAAATCGTCAACAGTTGTTATTTTGTTTATGGAGAAAATGGTTGTTTTTATTTTCGGGTTTAATTTATTAACAAATAAAGTTATAATGTTTTTATTAATTAATTACATATAAAAACCTCATATATTTACTTTTTGCTTTTTTGTGAAAAAATTCGTGACTGCTTTTCAGTGTAACTTTAAAATTTTGAGAGATTATAAAATTAGGACGAAATTCTGGTAATTTAAACATGCCATTGTATGGCAACATCTATAATTTTGTTTAACATTAAGCAGCACAGGTATTCCTAAAGGTACCTCAAGGTACCTTGTGTGGAAGGGGCTACACATTTAGACACACCCAATGTCCAAGTATACTCGAATTAATTCCTGGTTTAGAAAAAATCCTAGCCCCTTGACCGGGGATCGAATCCGTGACTCCTAGGTGAGAGGCAAGTGTCCTTACCACTAGGCCACGAAGCCACAGAGACATATTGAGGATCTCTAGAAAATAATCGATTTAATCTCATATCACACCAGCGGCGTCTGCGAAGGTATATATCTCCCAAGGAACCGTCTTGGTGGTGCTACAGCAAAGCACTCCAGAACAGTTAGAAAAAATAATATAAACTTATGGCAATATTTAGTCTTTATAAATTCATATTTAACAAGTTTACGTGTTATTTTTATTTATTTAGCTTTCTGGAAGAGCTGTAGCTATATACAGCTCTGCAGTATTAAATGAGACCTACTTAAAATACAGCCTAGTCGGTCGTTTCATGTTGAATGACCCAGTAATCTGTTGATAATATTATTTGATGTCATACTTATTTTTATCTGAAAAATGCGTATTTGATTTGCCGGAAAGGCTTCAGAGTTACATTGTCTGTAAGCATAAGGGCAATCTCCTGTAACTGTTAATATGTGCCAAAAAACATACGATATATACCAAAAATGTCGCATCATAAGGTATTTTTTTTATTATTATTTTGCTTACAAAAACACTCATTGTGGCGATCGGATCGTCTTTGTCTTAAAACTGAAAAATTATCAATCAAAAGTTGTCATGTGACTTCAGGTATAGCCAAAATTAAATAAAATTTTCAGAAATTCACCGAAAATGGGAATATTTCTTAAAATTGGTGTGTCCAAAATGAATGTTTTTGCGGAAAATTGTTTAATAATGTTGGCACCTGATAAACCCGTAAATTGCTAGTATGAAACTGGCCACTGAGAAAAATACTTTATTTTAGCAGCTTCGGTCGTAAAAATGCCATAATTTATTTTAACTATTATTTTTACACACTAGATGTATTTCTTTACTGTCAAAATCAAAATGACTGACACTTTCAGTGTGTTTTTAGGCACCATGTGTGGTTTAAGTGTATTTTTATTTTTTACTTGTATATATTGGCCAAATTACCAAATGCTTTTGATATGCGATATATAAAAGTAGATTTTTTTCGCATTTCTACCAGCCAAGGAACTTTTTGCTGGCACACTTTACACACTCGTAAAATCTTAGTAAAAAATAAATTTACACTATTACAACACTATACAGTCACAGAAAAAGAGGAAGTGTTCAGTAAATAACCCATTGGCGTAGATGAAACAAAATATTGTGTACTATGCGTTAATTGAACTATTTTCTGTATACATTTTAGAGTTATTACATTATATCCTGGTGCGAAAGCATGCAATGTCTATTTTGGACTGTAGCTGTCAAATATTAGAGAAAGTGATGTTTAAAAACTGTAAATAATGACAAAGTTTCGCAATGAAAGTGTAAAATTCGACGAAAATCGAAAATTATGTCTAAGTCTGTATACAGCAATATTTGTATTGAGCTCAATCTGTTTCATATTACTTGCCTTTAACTCCTCCTGTACCTTGAGAGGAAGAACATATTCTTTATGTTTTGAAAGAGCCTGTGCACAAGTGCAGCTTCTGCGATATGTGCGATTTATGACAAAATTACTGACTCGCTATTACAATCTCAGTACTATTAAAAATAAGTATCAGTTGGTTCAATGCAACTGTATTTATTTTTTGCAAAAATGTGTGTTAGAATTGTGGACAAAGCCCTGTATTATATATCAAAAATGCTGTATAAATACACTTTGGTTTCAATAGGAGGATGGAATTGAGAATAAAGACATCGATGTTATGTTCATTTTTAAAAGCTCGGATACACTAACACGTGTCTGTGTGTTTGTACACATATGTTACAGATGTCATTATAGTTTAGAAGTGGGTTGGAACCCTTGATGTGAAGATACTGACTTAGTTTTCCATGGAACACCAAAACACCATATACTGCACTTTGCGCGCGTTCCGCCAACTGAATTAGCATCATCTGGAGAGTTTTAATCATCTCCAGATGATGCCAACTTGGTTGACGAAATGCACGTCGAGTGCAGTGTATGATGTTTCGCAGAAAACTACATCAGTGTTGTCATTATTATTGTTAAATCAGCAATTGCATATAGCTGCCTAAAGCAGTAAGCTATAATTTAATGGATTCGATGGTAGCCTAGTTATTAGCTTACTATTATTATTATTCCTATGTATACTATATATACTATGCTATATATTCTTATAATAGAGAACTCTTGCATTTTAAACAGCAGGAGATTATTTCTTTTATCGTATTAAATATTTTTCCAAGAACCTAGTAGCTTAATGGATTTAACTAGATAATTTAATTTTTTTTAATAGGCTAGTCGGTTACAGTACTTATTCATTTACTATACCCAAGAATGAGAATCATTTTATCCAATTCCACAACCGGATTCGCCGAATTTAACGGTATAAGTGAAGCCCTATTCATTAATGGGCCCTTTACAGTCGCAATTTTTTACAAAAGGAAAATACTCCTGCGGAATTTCATTAGCAACAAAACCTATTATGAAAGCTCCGCGGCTGGTGAAAAATTACATTTTTTACAGTTACGTCTCTACCTTTCTTCGTTAACATCCGCTTATAGCCTGGTCCAAACTTATAGCCCATGCCGTTAAAGTAGGCGAACTTGTATTTATTGCGGAAATCAAGAGTCAAATATTTAATTTAGCTTGGGGACCAATAAACTGTTATGTTTGACTACCATCCAGGCCCGTGCCGTATGTAAGGGCAAAGTCATGCGATGCACGATAGCGCAAAAGTCAAAAAAAGATAATATAGCTAGCAAATAAAATGTATAATGATAAAAAAGAAACAAAAAGGAATTGCAATCTATTATATTATTATGTATTTCATTCAGTTACTTATTTTTTACTTGTACCTTTATACACATGTATCAGTGTTATGAAAATTGGGGGAGAAATATATTAAAATGCACAAGTTCGCCAAAGGAATAGGCGCTGGCCTGCTACCATCTTAATCATGGCAGTGGTGATACTGTCGAAAATAGTAAATACGAAGTACATAACAATATTTACTTATTTTTTCTACATATCCCAATGATGCATAATGCAATTTTGTCCAATTTTAAATTAAGTTACCGGTTTAATCCTATAGACACTGAAAGTACATCAACTCGTTTGCCCTACATGAATCTACGGTGTATCCGTAAAGTATGAAATAACTTCATTATTTCTTAAACCAAAAATATTTAGAAAAAATCCTTGGACACGTCGATTTTTAATTGCAATTGCGCACCTTTTCCTTTATTTTTTGTTTATGACGTCATTACTGTTTCCGTTATGACGTCATCGATATTTTGTTAAATGGAACACCCTGTATATTTTACATCTTTGCATTCTGATTCAACAGCTGATCCCAAATATGTATCACACTTAGGGCCTAAAATTGATAAGCTATTATTAAGTGATCCACTGTCAAAGACAATAATGATAAAACAAAAAACCAAACAAAAACTAGTCTACTTCAAAAATTAATAAAAAAGACGTTTTTATTTTACTTTTTTCTTGTATTTTTTTACTTTTTCACTTATTTTCTTTATATGGCTGTATCTTCCAACTTATCAATTTTAGACCCTAAGTATACATTTTTGAAATCAGTTGTTGAAGCAGAATCCAAAAATGGAGAAATACACAGGGTGTTCCATTTAAAAAAATATCGATGACGACATAACGGAAAAGTGATGACGTCATAACCAAAAAAATAAAGGATAAGGTGTGTAATTGAAATTAAAAATCAACGTGTCCGAGGATTTTTTTCTAAATGTTTTTGATTTAAGAAATAATGAATTTATTCCATACTTTACGGACACACTATACAGGGTCTCCCCAGGTACCGCATCGATCGATATAGGGAAAAGTACGCACCAGAAAATTTTGAAAATTTAGGGAATTACTAATAGCAGTGTGGCCAATCAATTACAAGCATCTGGCACTTCCGGTTATACCGGAAGGCGATACCAACTTGCTTATTTTAAATGGAATATCCTATATATTTTAATGTTTTCGAAAAGAGCATAAAATTCTGAGTCAAAAACATGTGGATACTCTGTGCCTAAACCCAGTGGTTTGAGATATTTGACATTTTAAAAAAATTTTGACAGGTTTACAATAACCTTTATAACTTTCTTCGTGTAAAAGATTCTCATTTGCTTTTTGGCATGCAGAAAGAACATAAGGTGAACTACGCACCACAGTTTAAAGAAATTCAATAATAGTATAAAAAGTGTTCCATTTTCAAATGGGACACCCTGTATTTCTTTAAATCAAGTTATGAATAATTAAATTCCTTTTTTTCTGATATAAGCATTGGGGGTTTAAATTACAACTTTTTTGAAATATTTGCGATTTTCTTAGAAATTGAAGAATTTTTAGTAGAAATTTTATCAAATTAGCCATGATTAGAAACAATCAGTAATGTCAGTCATTCTCTTATGTCAAAAAATGCCACCGCGTTTAAATTACACCCACGAAGACTTTGAATTTGTTTATTATTTATGGAGTATGTGATAAAGTAATATCAATAACTTGTAGTACATTTGCTACTAGATATCCACGAAAACGGAAAATAACACTAAACACTGTAATATGCCTATTAATTGGATTGAAGACACTACATAAACTAAAACAGCTAAGATAAAACCAACTAAAAACATGATTCTGTTTTAATTTTAAAGTGCCAGATGCTTGTAATTATTTTATTTAGATTGGCCACACTGCCGTTAGTAGCTCCCTAAATTTTAAAAATTTTCTGGTGCGTACTCTTCCCCATATCCCTGGCGAGACACTCTGTATAGAGTTGATCAGATTGACTGTGGCACATTAAAAATACATGCATGGTTTATAATTTAACTGGAACAAATTTTGAAATTGTGGCTCATTGTTTTCAAACCAGTTCTGCTCTATGACTCACGGAATAGCCGATTCTGCTGAAATTGTCGAATCTTAAGGAATTTATCTAACATCTAATACGCAGCCAAAATTGTTAAATCGAATTCATGTACTATGCACTATGTCCTATGTACAATATTTCGTATAATTCAAATTTTTGCGTTATGGCGTATT